ATGTTTAAAAAAATATATATTTTGATAAGCTTCATCATTTTTTTTGTTATAATTTTACATCATAAATTTAAAATTAATCTTTGAGTCCCCTGAGATTATATAAAAAGCTAGTGACGCTACCGCACTTTCCGTTGCATAGTGGGATCCAATCCGACACGATTTAACAGCTGATCGATTTTTAAATCGGTTTGTGAGAATCGATTTTTTTTCTTTATTAAAACCAAAATTTCTTTGGTTATTATCACGCAACCTTATCAGTAAAAAAAATATTGCCTCGCAAATTATTACCATCGATAAAGATAATTTATCAGTTGGAATATTCATGTCTTAGCAAACACAGCCCCACCAGATTCAACGAAACAAAAAGATTGGGATCAAGGATTGGTATCTCATTCTTTAGCTTACCTCAACTTGAGCGATGATCACCAACGTAAATCCCTCCTAAGATCTCTTAATTTCAACAACTCTGGCCATGAATGGTAGATTCATTTCCCAGTATTTTAAATAACCAGCTAATAGATAACGACGCTTTTCGTTATGCAATCAATTTACGCTTGGGCGTACCTTTCCTAAACCAATATATTTGCATTAAATGCAATCAATAGGCAGACGCGTATGGGAAACACGCTCTCCACTGTAAATCTATATCAAAAATGAGCCGACATGATAAAATAAATACAATAATAGCTTCTCCTTTAAATAAAGCCAATTTTCCCTGTATTTTAGAACCTGTTATATTTGTGTGTTTTATTCAATTTTTATAATTATGCTGTAATTTGAATATTTGAAACAAGAATCATGTTGTTAAATAATTATTTCGTTTTGAATATCGTTTTCGACAATTATAAATTTAATATTTAGACACATTTGAATATTTAAGTTGTTTGAATATATTATCATATCATGAACTTTATCACGTTGTCCATTTTGCGACTATTAATTTACTACAAATTTTCTTTATTTAACCAATAAAAATTATTATAAATTTTTAAAACGAAAAAAAAATTAACTGTGTATAAAAAAAATACAAAATAGTAAACACAAATAAAATGAATTGATAATTTACAAGCAATAATCATCACAAATAAATAATTGAAATTTAACAATCTAAAAATATCTTCTTTTACAATTGTAATGCATCTAATCATGCCTCAAATAATTATAAGATAAAAATACATATTTAGAAATTATAAATTATCCCATCACAATGACTTTACAATAATTAACTTTTATAAATCTAAAAAATAAAATGTTAACACGATTAAACTAAAACATAAAATTATAAAAATAAAAATGATTCATCAAACGCGATACATACTGACTTTACCAAAAATCAAATTTTACAAATCAAAGTCTCCCAATTATGACACTTCCCCCCTTTAACCAATCCTTGAGACCACAATCCCTTTGATCACCCATAGGAATTCTTCTGTTATTGTTGTAAGTTGACACCTTTGACCATCGCTTGTTCGAACATATTTCAATAATTACTATTCTTCCATAGTCTTCTTCTATGAGTAACGTGAACTTAAAATCCTTTTAATTTATTTCATTACTAAAAAAAAATTTCGGACTCCCAGTGGATTCCCACTTTTGCATACACGCTGAAAAGACACCACCACTCCAATAACACGCTGCAAATACTCATCCACCTAAAACCTTCGATTGTTCTGCTCTAGAGTAACCCCTGTTATTAAAACATCATGGTATAATAAAACACTCCCTCCAATCCCCGAAAACCTGCCGCCATCGTCCGTTGAAATATAGGTGCCGATACGCTCAACCCAAACGGCAACTTCTGAAAGCAAATAGGCCCGTTTTGTTATAGTCAACAACCTCTGCCTCTCCTTTTTCACCCGTAATTGCACATACGTGTTCGAAAAATCCACTTTCGAAAAATATCTGCTCCCCTTTAAACTGGGCAATATCTCCTCTATCCTGGGTAACGGATACTTCACCTCCACCACACATGGATTCAAAGTTTTTAGCGTAAATTGTTGAAATCTCTCGTGAATAAAGTCATAAGAATTATTGTTAAATTAATTAATTATAATAGTCTTTTTCTTATAATTCATACAAATTATTAAAAGTTTCATTTTTATTTTTAGATATAATGAGCTCGGTAATTTGCCTTGGAGCTTTTAGTTAGTCTCCCTTAAATCCTTCAATAAATATATTACAATAATACGGAATTGAAACACAACCGATATCTTTTTTAGATAAAAAACGCCCTGAAGGCAAAACAATAGCCTTTAATGTGGGATTTTACCTGCATTGATTAATTCTCATGATCCCCTTAACAGAGCCGAATCTCTAAAAAATATAAAATACCCACACCTAATGTGTGACAACCACTTTGTTCCCTAGTGTTGTTAAACGGCTCGTTTTGAGATTTTTAAAAACGACTAACTCAATATTTTGGCCAGAAAAATATTGCCTAAACCTCGAGATTTCGATAATATATGTATAGACCTTCGTTCCTTCTATGAGCAAAATCTTCAGGCTTGCGAAATATATTTCTGGATGAAGTATTGAGTTAGCCGTTTTTAAAAATCGGCTCAAAACGAGCCGTTTAACAACACTATTGTTCCCATAGCAGCTACATCAACCTGCTCTTTTGGACAAGCGGCATTTGATCTCTTTAAAATAATATCCAAATAATTACCTTCCAAAAATTAAAAATAAAAACATCATACCTTTCTCCATTTTATAAACTTAAGCAGAAAATCGCCGTATTTATAATTAGATCTAATTATCAAATATTTAAAACATCATGGCCCGACCTCACCATTTGATATTATTATTATTTTTTTTAAATGTTTTTTTCTTTTTATAAAAATATATATTTGTAAATCTTTCTTTTTTAACTTAAACTGATATATGACATATTTTATTATATTCTCTATATTATAATGTTAATTTTTAAACAATAATATTTTATCAATATTATATAAATTTTAATAAAATGAATTTTTTATTAATATTATTTATTTTTTTTAAAAATGATCTCATAAACAAATTTTAAAAATCGATCAGCTGTTAAATCGTATCGGATCCCACTATGAATGCGGCCTTCAACCTCAATCCTTAAATTTTTTTAAAAATTTTATATGATATTTAAAATTTTGAGTTATAAGGTTAGAGGTAACTTTTACAGGCTCAAATTTCCGAAAAATTGAATAATAAAATATATATATCTCTATACAAACATGTTTAAATTTTTTTTAGAATAGTCGAGAGATCTGAGGTTTGTGTAACATGAATTGTGATTATCACAATTTTTAATTTTATAAAAAATAAAAATAAAATATTATCCTTTATAATTGATGATTAATTGTTCAATTTTTTTAAAGCTATGATTATCTTTATGCGCATACAAAACTGCTAAGCATATGTTTTGCCTGGAATTATTTATTTAACCTTATCTTCGAGTTTTTTTAAAAAAAATGATATAACTTAATCTTCAAGAAAATATGCATATTGTAATTCGCAATTTAATTCTAACCGGATTTTATTCGGCACGCTTTATAAATAAGTAATGATGGCAAAAATTTAGCAATGTTAAAGTAAGTTATCATTAATAATAGCATAAGGGACCTTATCTTTAGAGAAACTAGCACGCCTTAAAGACAACCGTTTTTAATAAAATCAGAAAATTTTAATTAAATCCAAAAAAAGGAAATATTTTATTGATATTATTCATATATATTTTTTTTCCAATTCAAATAAATATTATATCCATGAAATTAATTATATTTTATTTTTTAAAGAAATTCCTTTATTTATAATTTGTAAATGGCAAAATAGTTAAATAAGAATTGTAATTACCTTGTTCCAAATCTAGGGAATATTTCATTAATAGTTTTCTTTTAATAAAAATGAGAAGATATTTAAAATTTTATATTCATTAAATTTAACAATTTCATTTTAATTCTTGCCCTAAGCCTGGCCCAAATTTTTTTATAAACTTTAACTGTATCTGTTCAAATTTTATAAAAATTTGCCAAGCTTACTTTTAAGCCTAATATTCGGGTCCACATGCAGCTTTACCCACTGTTATATTTTTTGAATGCATATTATTTTAATTTAACATTGAAACTTTTAGATTGTAAGAATAAAAACTTAAAATTAAAACATAAATATATAGGCATAGTTAAGAAAAGGAAGCAAATGGAAATTCCCCATGCGGAAATTTACCTGTACTCGTAAATATTATTTTCAGTTAATAAAAATTTTCCCCTACATGTCCCTATCCCCTTCTCCCTTTAAAATTTATACAATATAATACATTAATTTGAAAGAATAATAAGCAAAAGTTAATAATTTTTTAAAATAATGACTATAATTTAGAATTTGAAAAATGTAACATAATTAATGGCCTGCAATAGTGTGATATTAAGTATACTTAATAAATCTATGAGCCCCCCCCTCTCCTCTCTATCCAAACACTGGCTGCGCCTATTGATGAAGATAAGTTTTGGCATTTAAAATTTTTAAAACTAAATAAATTTCTTGAATTAATATCATTATTTTATTTATTTAACAATAAAAAATTATAATCTTAATTTATATAAAAGCTTAAATCTAATGTTATAGTATGACATTAGCCCACTTATAAGCAAAAACAAAATTTATTAAATGCAATAATCCATATATTTTTAATATATATCAACACTGGTTGATTCCGATCTACTAAATATCACAATCTGAACAAGCCACAGACGCTACTCGAAAGGAGAAAATTATTTGCATATTAACATAAATTTACAACGCTATCTAATATTTTAATGAAACACATAAAAATAGCAGTAACGTTTAACGCCATTCATCATTATTTTATTTTCTTCAGATAAAACCTGATTAAAATTTTAATCACTTTCAAAGGAGTGTAAAGTAATTGCTATATAGCTTAAAATATGTTTGAATCATTAAAATTTTAACAATTTCTATTAATTAAATAAAATTTCAATTTATTAATTGAATATTCATATTTAATTTGATTTATAATTGCCAATATGAATAAAATTAAAATATACCAAACTCTATACTTTATAATAATAACAATAAAATCGAATTTTATAAACCCATTACAAATAACTAATCCTAATATTTATTCTGATAATTTGGATGAATCAAATCAATTAGATATTGAAGGTAATCAATTGCTCAATTTTCTAATAAAACATACTTTTTATCAAAATTTTGATAAAAATTTTGAGATACATAGTGAATGGAATTCATTAACATTATCATCTGAATGTAAATCGGATCTTATATCACTGAGTGTGGGTTTGACCTTGTCTAAATCTTGGGCTTTACATATGATAGACTCTTGGGGTAAAATTCCTGCTGGAATTTTAAAGGGAAATTTGTTTGCACTGGGTTCATTTTATGAATGCATGGATTTGGCTCATAAATGGAAACACTTAAGGAATTCTTCAAATGATAATTGGGGACCATTTGGAAAAATGCCAAAATCTCCACCATCTTATTGCCTTGTAGATATAGATGTTGGAAATCCTTTATTAGCGAATGCTACGATAAATTATATAAAGGCTCGTAATAGAGACATTATTCCACTTATTCTCAAATTACCAGGGATGTACTATTATCAAAGTTGGTGCTTACCTGATTCTTGTTCACCTAATGATATATATAATTTAAATAACCTTTTACTCCAATGGCTAACTAAAAGCAAGTACTATACATTCATAAATGCTCCATTTATAGCGAGAGTTCAGTGTACTGATATTAATAACACCTTAATAACATGGCCTATAAATTTAGTACATAGTTCATATACTGAAAGTAATGAAGAATATAATAAAGATTCAAAGCCCATTCCAACCATTCCCCCAATTTCCCCTATCATTTATGACCCTGGATCCTTGAAGAAGCTGTTTATAGCTCAAAAATGGAAGGACCATCTATTAGCTTATCTCTTCTTTGGATTTTTTATTAGTTTCATATTGATAGCTTTTTTATTGGACTTAATAATTTCTTCCAAAAACTTAAGCAACACAGATCACGTAACAACCAATGAAGGCTCAAATTTTGTGACAAAGGCTAAAACACATGTAACCACAATGGCACAATCCTTATCTCCCCTTCACAACCTTCCTTCCTTATTCTGGGTTGATTACTCTTATTATGATTGCTTACCAATCCCTCAAGAAATTTCTCCAGAATCTATTGAATCACATTATTATTATCACTCACCTATTATTCCTGGTCTAAGAGCTCTTAGCTTACTTTGGATAATCTATGCAAATAGTGTTGTTCTTGGTACTCCTTATCTATCCGACCCTATTCGAGCTTCACTTTCTTTCCCTAATTTTATCTCCCTTTCCTTGAATGGGGCCTTATTTGCTGTTGACACTTTCTACTTTCTATCAGGACTATGCTCAGCTCCAGCATTGCTTTATTGGACCTATCATCGATCCTCATCATCAACTTGTCTCTCACGTTTGTTAGGTGTAAGTAATATAAAATTTGGTTTTAAAATATTTTAGAGTGTACCATTGGCTGCACAATTTAATAAGGAGTTCGTAATCAATATCTTACCCAACATATACGATAAACAATAGAAATGTGCATTTTTATCCATTAAGATGAATAGGAAATTTATTATTATAAATAGAATGGTATATTGTTTTTTTCCATCCATTTTCTGAACAATTTTTCATCAGTGCAGCCAACAATATGTATACATTATCCAATCAATATATATAGAAACCTTACTAAACTAATTTCTTCAAAAAGTCTCCTTTTAAATTTTGATGTAAAATAGAAATTAATAGGGCTGTGCCTAGTCTGCATTGGGTGGGTTTTTAGACCATCTACTTTGAGCTTGTGTATTTGGGTGTTCTTTTAAACATTGGATGGGTGGTGGTTGGGTTAAAACTAATTTTAATTAATGACCGGATGTGGGCAGGTGAATTTGAAAAAATTTTTTTAGGCAAAATGAACAGAACAGACTTCAATTTATTAAAAATAAATGGTTTTATTTCATATATTGCATATTATATATGTTTAATTAAAATAAATAAAACAAAGAGACAAACCAGTCATTAAAATGGGCAGGTTAAAAAATTTTAAAACAGCAAGTATGTGGGCTTTTAGCTAAAATCCGCCCATTGCAGACCTCAAGTGTTATCCACAAATTTTTTGCCAATCCGTTTTAAATTTTTCCGATACAACTACAAAACTGATCCAATATTTCGATTAATTTTAACTATCTATTTAACTGATGCCATAAAAAAAATTGATATTTTCTATTTAAAAAAAAAATTAATTAACTTTCACAGAAGATTGAAGATTTCATTTTTACAAAAAAATATATTCTCCAAAAGTTATTGTCTCTCTTAAAAATATGGGCAATGTTTATGTTATGACCAATGACATAAAATAATACCTAGAATGACGATGCATTCATTAAAAGTGTACATTAGTGAAAAACAGCTGGGGACGCCATTTTGGTTACCCTTATCATTATTAAAA